CAGGTCGAGACTACCAGATCCACCACATCTGGAGGTCTCCCAGCGCCGGGTACTCGAGGAGCACCCCACGCTTGCAGACGACGGAGCCTGGCTTGCCCGCCAACCTCTCGACCCCAGCCACCTGGGCTCGCAAGCAGACCACACGGCAAGCACAAAGACCCCTAGAGGGCTGGCTAGTCCACCAGCGTCAGCCAAATTAAATGCAGGCACCACGACACAACCAAGCACTGACTACAATCGACAGATACAGCATGGACCCATACAAGCCTACCAGCTAGAGCAAATACAGGACACATACCTTGACAGCAAAAGCTACAGCCCTACAGCAGCAGAACCGCACCCCAACGACGCCACAGCTGTTGCAAGGGAAAGAAGAGTGGCGAGGCGCAAAAGATTACTAAGACAGGCGCACAGGGTGGAGATGCGACCAGACTTTGGAGTGCCGCTGATCAATAACCCCTTCGAGGCGCTTGCGGACAGCAGCATCTGCGAGGACGAAGCACTGCCAGATAGCACTCAGCCTCCTGGAGCGGAACATCCTGAGGAGCAGGACTTGGGCTCCGCCAGCGAGTGCCTGAGTCGAGAGCGCAGCGCCTGTCCGAGGTCGCGTACTACTTGGAGGGCAGCGCCTCGGTACACATCAGCAGAGCAGACTCCTCGCTCTGACGAGTCCAAACAACATAACGTACCGACCAGGACCTACCCGCGTTGGCGTGTCAGCGCGGGGTCGCCTCACTCTGCAAGGCCGTCGACGGACGGACCTGCTCTCCCCGAGCAGCTGCGGGTTGACTCCCCCTTGCAGGTGCGAAGACGCGAGAGCATGCCTCCGACGGGAGGGTGGCCGATGCCTTGCTCTCGCGACAGCGATGTCGTGCTGGGGCGCTCAACCAGGTCCAACGACGAGCATGCATCTACACTCCCGCCACCGACACCAGCCAAACCAAACCTAGACCCTCAAGAGCAACGCGCAGAGCCAGCACTACCTATCTTTCCACCACCGAACCCAACCGACCCTCATGGCGGCATATCTCATCGACTACGTGACAGCATGCTCCAAGCCCAATCACACGAGCCCCTGTTCAGTCAGGCCGTGCGGGCTGGATCGGACAACTTGAACGCCGATGAGAAGTGCTGCCAAAAGCCGCCGCCCCCACGGGAAAGGAGCACGACGCGGACGGGGACCAAGCCCTACAAGCCAACCGACCACTTGGAGACCGAGCAACCACTCCCAGACGCAACGACTAATGCCAGACAGCACCCCCAACCCCAGAGGGACGCACATCCCCGACGAGCAATGCTGCCGTTCAGGAGCTACCACGGAGCTAGCGGGCAGCCGACGGGGCGGCAACAACCCATCTCCGCACCACAACGACGTACAACCCCAGCCATGTACCCCCTCCGCATCCCAACTAGGCGGAGCACAACGGCGGAAGACGCCCGAGACAACCAACGCACTAGCCAACACACCAGCACTGACAGCGAGTACAGCGACGACTACCGGCGCTGCGAGCGCAGAAGGAGACGACGACAAAGAACTAGACCAGCAACACACGGGCAAGCGCACAAAACCGACCAGCGCAGTGACAGCAACAGCACGCAGCGACGCTTCCTCAACATCGGATCCCCGCAGTTCCTACCGACGCAATTCCAGCAACACAGCCAGAAGCTGACATGGCATTACGACCTCGAAGAGCACGACCTGCACGAGCATACCAGGCTGGCGGTGAAGCACCTTGCTCCCTCGAGACCTTTGGCGGCTGTGAAGCGGCACTACTACTTCACCGACGCGTCCTACCATGCCAAAGCAGTACTTCCCGCGCCCGCCAGCGGGGATGGTGAGGGGCAGGGGGGGGGGGGTAGGACGGCCACTACCCGCGCCCCCGCGGTCCGCCCTAGCTCGCCACCCCCACCATTCCCATGGAGAAGGAGGAGCTACCCGATCGCCCGAGGGCGAAGCTGGACAGCCGAGACACACCACTCCGACGACAAGTACCAGGCCTGGGGTTCGCCCCCACCGAGGGCACCGTGACCCCTAGCCATAGCGGGACGAGGTGGGACAGTAACGACCCCCACTTGAAGTCGGTGCATGGAGGCCTTGGGAGCCCACCACCAACACAACACCAGCAACAGCCCGACCCCCAACGACCTCGCCAACTCGCTCCACATCTGCACGCAGCCCCATACAACGACATCTACAACATCCGAGATCAGTACCCTCCTGCAGCTCAAAAGCAGGGGGTCATGACCGACGGCCCTCGCGTGGCAGGCGAGGAGAGTGCTGCAGAGCCGCTGAATCCAGAGGCTCGGCGGGCCTCCACAGCGCTGAGCGCCGAAGGGTGGAGGCCGCCGCAGAGAAGGCGGCCATCCACCTGATGACCTGGCGGCTGGGCTCAGCGCGAGGCGCCGAAGGGAGCCCGGCCGCCGTGCATGAGACCGACCACTAGGCGAGGAGAGTGCTGCAGAGCCGCTGAAGTCAGAGGCTCGGCGGACTCCACAGCGCTGAGCGCCGAAGGGTGGAGGCCACCGCAGAGAAGGCAGCCATCCACCTGATGACCTGGCGGCTGGGCTCAGCGCGAGGCGCCGAAGGGAGCCCAGCCGCCGCACAAGAGGCCGACCGCCCACAAAGAGGCCGAGGCTAGGACAGCGCTGCAGAGCCGCTGAAGTCAGGCTCGGCGGGCCTCCACAGCGCTGAGCGCCGAAGGGTGGAGGCCGCCGCAGAGAAGGCGGCCAGCCACCCGATGACCTGGCGGCTGGGCTCAGCGCGAGGCGCCGAAGGGAGCCCAGCCGCCACACAAAAGGCCGACCGCCCACAAAGAGGCCGAGGCCTGGCTGCGGGCCGAGCTGGCTGAGCTGGCACGGGCGCGCGCGGCGCCTGCCGAGGGCCCAGATGGTTGTTTTACTGAAACCCGGCCCCTCTCTCCCTTCTCTATGATTTACTGGTCCCAGGCTCCCAGTTTCCCTCGGGGCCGGGTTCCCGGGGCCGCAGTCTGAGCGCCCGCACGGCCCTGGTGGGCCGCTGCAGAGCGCTCCGCGCCCGCGGGGCGCGCGACAAGACGCTGCATAGCGAGAAACGCAGAAACGCAGGGGGGGGGGGACGGCTTCTTGGGAGGAGGCCGCTGCTTAGCAGGCAAGGGCCTCGTCTGTACTTGTAGGGCTGGCGCCCTCTCAGCAGCAGCTTCGTCTCGGAAGCCTTCCTTCTTCCTCCTACCCCCCCTCTGCGCGCCGCCAGGCTGAGCAGGCACGGGCCTTGTCCGTAGTTGTAGGGCCCGCGCCTTTGAGAAGCAGCCTCCTTCTGAGAAGCCCCCCCCCCCTCCCCCTATTCAAGCAGTGGCGAAGCGTCCTGGCTCGCCAATAGGTCCACCAAATGATATTCTACGAGCCTTTTGTGATCTGCGCGAAAAGTTAGAACATTCCTGGTTTGGACTGTCTTGTTTTAGCACATCGTGCGTATGTTCTAAGAGAACGGTTTTGTTGTTCTAGCAGTTTTGGGGGTTCCGAGAACATGTCGTGGCAGGCCTGCAGGAATGCAGGGACGGCCGGTCCCTGCTCAGCCTGTGCTCCCCTCGGCGCGCCCCCACTCCTGGGAGGCCCAAGTCGGCATCGGCTCTGGCATATCACATCCCTGGTCGAGCGCCGGCCTCATCCTTCTTTTCACCGCGCGTCGGCGGGCTCAGTCCCGCTCTGTCCGGCTTACTCCCGCTCGACCCCGAGCTGAAAGTGGCCCAACTCGGCCCAGGTCGAAGAAGTAACAGGGCCGTAAAAATAACTCTTCGACGCTCCGCGCGGATTGCTTGGATCGGCGCTGGGCCCCCCGGCGGCGCCTCCGGCGCAGCACCTGGCACGCTCCGCGCGCCTGGGAGGGGGGTCCAGCGCAGATCCAAGAAACCCGCGTGGAGCGCCAAACGTTTATGTTTATGGCGTTTTTCCTTCTCCTATCAGCGGCCCCTTACTCGCGCCTAATCGCATTGATAATCGTTCTGACGAAGACCTCCCGGGAGTTGCTTTCCAACTGCCTGTCCGTCGCGCCGCTGCCCGCGTTGGATCCGCGTCGGATCGCAGAGGAGGTAGTCGCCACCGCTGGAGTCGCCGCGAACTCCTGTTCAGAGCGCACCCCGAGGGAGGTCTTGGGAGCAGCTGTATGGGTATCGAAGTCTCCTGGCTTCCCCAGAATCCACGAACCCACGTCGAATCCGCGACGAATCTGCTTCGAGTCCATGTCGAATGCCCGCGGACGTTCGTCGGACACCGAGAACGGGCAGACATGTTACAGTACAGATGAAGTCACCCGAAGTTGCAACGCGAGCCATGCAGTGGTGCGCCGACGCTGTGCGCCTTCACGAGGAGGAGGTGCTCGGGCGCAACTTCGGGTGGGTGGTGTACAGCCGCTGGGACCTGCAGTGGCTCATCTCGGCGGCGAGCCCGGGCGGAAGTGATAGGGGCGGGCCATCTCAGAAGGCCCAGAAGTCCCCCGGCCTTCTCAGAAGTTGTCTAAGCCTTCCCCGAAGACACAGAAAGCTTTCAGAAGGCCAGAGGGCTTCTTAGAAGCCCCGCCACCTTTGAGAGGGCCTTCTCCCTTCTCGCTTCCCCCTTCGCTCGCCGCCGATCATCTCGAAGACGGAAAGACGGCGTAGGCATAAGTTTCTCGAGGTCCGCGCGGGTGTCTTGGATCGGCGCTGGATATTTCCCCGTCCGGCGCGCTGAGTTGGCGGAGCGCAGAGGGGGGCATGGGGAGGGGGGAATGTTTCTAAGAATGATGTTGCTTCTGGGAAGGCGCGGGCCATCCATCCATAGACAAGGCCCGCGCCTTCTAGGAAGCAGCCTCTAAGAAGCCCTCCCCCCTCCCCCTATACCACCTCTGCGCGTGGCCGACCTTTGTTCCACAGTGTCCCCAAGACATCCAAGCAGGCCCCCACGGCCTCCAGAGAACCCCGCACGAGGCCCAGCGGGGCCCCAATGGGGCACCAGAGGGGAGCGAGCAGCTGGGGACACCTCGGGGCCAGGGGCGCCCTTCCGGCAGCCCCTGATATGTGGAGGCGGGCCCATCGCCGACCCCAGACGTCCGCGCCGCGCTCGGGAAGTTCCTGCCGATGCCGACCTGTTCTTCTTCGACCATCCCCTTCCCGGGCCTGCCGCTGCTGCACTCCATGGACGAGTCTTCGGTCTGGGCGATGACCACGCAGGGGGAGTTCTTCGCGAACGACCGCTTCGCCGCGGTGCCGCGCAGTGCCCTGAGCGCCTATTTCGAGGGCTGGAAGCTGATCGTGACGGGCGAGGCAGAGGATGTTTTCCTGAAGGTCCTCCCGCGCGCTGGCGTCCCCGTTTTCCTGGCCGAGGGCACGAACTGTGAGGCCTGGCTCTATGCGCGCCTCGAGTATGCCGGCGTTGGCCTGGCTGCCATGCCAGCAATGGCTTACGTTCAGTGCGCACCTGGGGAGGACTGGGCGAGTCTGCGCACGCTTGGCTACTTCTCCTGCACCCCGTTCTCGGGGTTATTCTCCGATGAATCTGGAGCTCTGACAGAGGCTTTTGGCGGGTGCAAATATCCGACGGAGGTCAAGAACATCATAGCCACAGACACAGCCCTCCAGGACTTTGACTTGGACGGGACCGTTCATCCAGGGAGCCGGTCCCGTGACGCTGCGGACGAGCTCTGGAACCACCGGCTGGTGCGCCTCTTCAGCCCCGAGCCATCCGCCATGGTGTGGACTACCGAGATGGTTTACCAGGCGACCACGCAGTGCATGGAGCGCGAGGTGAGGAGGTACCTGAAGGAGGGGAGCTGCACGAAGGTGGAGACATACGCGCTCGAGGCCCTCTGGTGCCGCAGGCTCCTGACCAGAGTCCTCGCGCTTGCCCAGTCGCGCAACGAGTACTACTGGGACGCCCTGGAGCTGTCGAGGGCGATGCTCCTGGCTGCCCCCCTGCACTTCGCGCACTGGATCCGCCTGATCTCCGTGCTGATGCACCCCACTCTCCGCTCGATCGAGGCCGCTCACGTGGCCTACAAGGAGGCCCGCAAGCTGAACCCGGCGCATCCGGTCATGCCGGGCCTAGGCAAGCTCATCTCGGAGGGGGGCCAGCCGAGACCACGGCGCCGCTCCCGTCCGACCGCGGACGAGGAGGAGGAGGAGGAGGAGGAGGAGGAGGAGGAGGAGGAGGAGGAGGAGGCCTCGCGCGGCGCGCGATAGTAGTCTTGAGTCGGGCCTGTCCCTCTACAGGTGAAACGTCCCAACGTAGTCAAACAACAGTCGGGGGACGATTCTGAGGTATATTTTGTTTTAGCTATGTTTGAGCATTTTTTGGTATTCCTATTTTTCGTAGAAGATCCGCCTGTCGGGGGACACGTCCGACCTAAAAGTGGTATGATCTAGTCACTAGTCCACACGTCGGTTCCGTGAGCTACGCGCGGCGGTGCTCCGGAGCCAGCCCGACGCAATTCCGACGTGAGTCCGACGTCGTCCGACGCGACGCCGACGTAAAATCGGCGTGGATCCGACGTACCGTGCTCTTTTTAATACATGCTCCGCGTGCGGATCATGTAGTAAAAATGCAGGGATTTAGTACTAAAAACAACGATGCGTTCATGCATACATTTACTCATAAATGAGTGCCCTGCTTTAAAACAAACTATCGCGTGTATTAACAATCCTAAAGCTTTAAAACTCTTATCCCATGTAGTAAACTTTGCCCTCTACATCGGGCCTCGCGTCGCCGCGCGAGGCGTGTCACGGGATGCCCCCCGCAGCAGCTCCGCTCACCGTCGGACCGCGGGCCCCTCCTTGGGTCTATCCCGGCTCGTGTCTCCTCCTCCTCCTCCTCCTCCCTCCTCCTCCTCCTCCTCCTCCTCCTCCTCCTCCTCCTCCTCCCCGTGCCGTGCCGTGCCGTACTCGTGCTCTTTCCCGTGCCGTGTCGACGAGAGGCGTGGGCTATGATATCTCCCCAGATCTCCTCGCGCCCCTTCTCGTTTCATTACGTCCCCGGCCCCCCCGCTGGGCCGCGCATATGCCGCCTGTCATGATTTGCACCCACCCCTCTTGGACACCCCCCTCCTGGCCGCTCCCGAAAAGAGCGCCGCCAGGGGTTTTCCCCCCAAGAAGGAAGAAGCAGGCCAGCGATCGGCGGCGCGCCGCAGGGGGTGCGGGCAAGATTTATATCCATATCCAGTGCGCCTTCGATTTTTTTGGAAGGGGCGCTACAAGGCCGAGGTGCACTGGACAAGGATACAAATCGAGCCTCTAGGGGGCAAATTTATCCATATCCAGTGCGCCTCGGGTTTCTGGGGAAGGGAGCCCGGAACTCCATACTGCAGTGGATGTGGACAGAAGTACTGCTCGCAGGGGGGAGCGAGAAGGCCGAGGATCGTCAGGGCGCGTGTTGGCCCACTGTGTGTGCTGCCCCCGTCGGCCCAGCCAGCTGCTCGTTGCATCGCCTGCGTCGTGTGGAAGGGCCTCGATGGACAAGCACACGTTGGGGCTAACACACGTTCTGAGGATCGTCGAGAAGACGTCTGCGGCTTCGGAGAAGGCTCAGGGAGCTCCTCAGAAGGCCAGAGGCCGTCTGAGCCTTCTGAGAAGGCCCGCCCCCTATTCAGGCGATCGCGAACATGGATCAAGGGGTCGTGGATCATGGCGACGGGTCCCAGTTTCCGTGGGAAATCGAGGATTTCCGCCGCCGAACAAGGCAGCACCGGCCGCATTTTGGGGAGGGCATCTCTCCCGATCCATGGATTTGGCGACCGCGCGCAAAAACCATGGATCGCTAGTCCATGTTTGCGCGCCAACGACCTAGGCTTCCCTCCTGGACCAGATTCGTGCGCCATATCGAGTCACACCGCTGACGCAACGCAGCGATGCGGCGCGATCCTCCGGCCTTATCTACTCCGACCCCATCTGGAAGGCGTCCACACGGGCAGTCCCCTCAGGTGAGCGACGTATTCGGTAGCACCGAAGGGGAGCCTGGTATACCTTCGCAGTTCCGTAGTTGGAGTGCATTGGCGTCGATGGGCGCCTGGTTCTCGATGAGACAGCGCTCCAGGACCGGCACTGGATTCGGCACTGGATTCGGCCTCTGGAAGTCGGCCACGCGCAGAGGGGGGGGGGCGAAGGGAGGGGGAAAGCTATCTGCGCGCCGCGAAGAAGTTTCGGGGGGCGCGCCGCCGTCGCGAGATTGACCCACCGCCGATCCTCCACGACGCCCGGGGAGGGGCGGCCGGCGAGGCGGCCCGGCCCCCGCCCGCTGCGCTGGACGACGTGCTCGGGGGGGCGAACGCTACCTGGCAGTGGGCCCGCGCGGTTTCCCGGACGCGGCGGGTCCTGAGCTCGGGGGGTTTGCCAGGGGTGCCCCTCTGGCCCGTCGCTGCCTTCGGAGCAGGAAGGGGGGCTCGTGGGTGAGAGGAGGAAGAGGCACCCGTTCTGCTACCCTGCGCCCGTTGGCCCCTGTTTGGGCCTCCTGGGAGGCCCCCGTCGCCACCGCTGGGCTCGCCTCGAGATCCTGGTCAGAGCGGACCCTGGGAGAGGCCTGGGGAGGAGCAGTATCGGTGCCTTACGGTTTCCCCAGTGGGGCCCTCGTCGCCACGGCTGGATTCGGCCCCGCTTCGGCTCAGAGGCCCCTGACTCGGGCCTAAGATCGCATGGATCATTGGGGACGTTCTTGGAAGGGGCGCCACGAGGCCGAGGTGCACTAGTCGTAGAAGAAAGAACGCCATAAACATACACTTTTGACGCTCCGCGCGGATTTCCTGGATCCGCGTTGGGACCCCCCAGCGGCGCCAAACGTACGTGTTTCTGCCGCTATTTCCTCTTCTTTTTCTGGTTGGATATGGCTAAATCGAGCCTCCAGGGGCAAGAGCTTCCCCCACGTCCAGTGCGCGCCGTGCCCCTGGGGAGAGGAGCCCGAACCCCCGAGCTGCACAATGGGTACGTATGGGCACCCGTCTTGCCCGCATAAGCCCAGACCTTCGACGTCCTGATTTGTTTTCAGGACGGCGCCCCTGGAAGTCCTCCTCCTCCTCCTCCTCCTCCTGCTCCTCCTCCTCCTCCTCCTCCTCCTCCTCCTCCTCCTCCTCCCCGTCGTCCTCCTCCTCCTCCTCCTCTTCCTCCTCCTCCTTTTTCCGGGACCAGTTCTTCGCCCCGAGTCGTTTTTCGACGGCCCCGCTGCCCCGCGAGGGCCCCCCGAGATCGAAGATGGCCAACAAAAACCTTCCGTTCTGACCACCTACCAGACCACCCCAGCCCAACCCGAAGACCCGAATTTCGGGTTGGAGGGGGGGTACGGGTTCCACATGTGTTTTCCTCGATGTTCCCTACCCCCCCCCACTGGAAATGCAGGGCAAATGGAGGCCTTCGGGTTGGGTTGGGGTAGTCTGGTGGGTGGTGGCGTTCTTTGCCACGAGCGAGCACGTCTGGGAAAAGGGGGGCTCCCATCCGGAGCGCGCCGGCTGGGGACACCGGGTTGGCCACGAGGCACCTCTGGCATCCCCCGGTCGGGCGGCGCCGCTGGCTGCAGGCGGCGTGCGCACGGCTCTCGGGAGAAGATCTTTAAGTCGGGCATGTCCATCTACAGGGGGACTTTCCAAAAATAGTCAAAACACACTCTGGTGATGATTTGTTTAATGTTCTAAAAATGCTGTCTGTGAGTTCTTTATTTTTCTGCTAAAATCCGCCTGCAGGAGGGCATGCCCGACCTAAGAGAAAGTCGTTGCGACCGAACTGTGTCTGGAAAGAGCGGGGACGAATGGGCGGCGAGCCAACATAAAGTGTTTTTAAACCCTCTGGGCAATAACGCACGTTATGCCCCCTACCCTCCCCCCTTCCCACCCACCCCCATAACGCAGCGCCTCCCTCCTCGGGGCGTCCCAGGGCGCTGCCGCAGTGCGTCTGGCACGACAGTCTGGGGGGGGGGGGTCGCTGCGTTATGCCCCATCCCGTCCCCCCACCCCCCCAGGGGCGGCGAACGTATCCGTATCCGCGCCCTCGCGGTCTGGATTCTGGGGCGCGGTCTCGCGGATACGCGGCCGCACGGTTGCGTGCCGCGCGGGGGTCATCGCCGAGAAAGCGCCCCGTGTCCGGGAGCCGCAGCCCAAGGGCCTGGCCCGCGAGGCCGCGGACACGGATCTGGTTTCGCAGTGCGCGACACCTTGTAGCGTGTGCGCGGCGGCGGGCGCGTTCGGGCCATACCGCCGTGAAAGCGATACGCTACAAGACGGTTATGCTATGCGTCTGGGTCGGGCTCACGCCTCCAGGGAGGACACATCGTACTGGTATGTCCTTGCACGCCACAGCGAGGACCAACAGCAGTTCCTGTCCACTCTGAGCAGGAGTTGCTCTCTATGTCGCCACGGGCGTTGTCTGTTCGAAACACAAGCTCGCCTGCCCAACAGCTTCCGCTATGGGTTTTGGACAACGTTTGTTGTTTGGCGTGTCAAGAGGAGACACATTTCACACATCACTTTCGGATGGCCGCGCGGATCTTTCGGATCTCAGAATAGGAATGGGTACCAACATTGCTCCCGTCTCCCGTTTTCGCCTTCCTGGGCCTCCTTGGATGCCCTCGCCGCCGCCATAGGATTCGCTTTGACATTCTGGTCAGGACGCACTCCAGGAGAGGTCCGGGGAGTAGCCGTATCGGTCTCTTCTCGTTTCCAGGGTGGGCCTTTACAGAGACCCCCTAGCGGCGCTACCGGCGCACCCCTCCTGGCGCTTCCAACGCCGATCCGAGGAATGTCCGCGCGGACCTGCGAGAGTGTCTAGTTATGTTGAGATGTAGGTGTGGCCAGGCTCCCCTGATGTTTATGGTCTCTTGATGGTGGTGTTGAGGTGATTATGATTTTGATGTTGACGCTATCTGGATGCTATGCTTATGTCGATCAGATATTTCATTTTGGTTGATGCTGATGCCATGTTCACATGTTGATGTAGGCTCGATGTGTTTGTGCGACAGCTTCCCAGGCTGGCGGCCGCCTCGCGCGAGGGCCTGGACGCCTGGCTGGCCTTCGGGAGACACCTCCTTAGGAGCGCTCGGCTGCAACGCCCAAGGGGGCCCAACGTCAGCATGTCGGCACCGGCAGGGCGGGTTCATGCGGCTGCTGGCGCTCCGGCGACGCCGGCGGAGCTGTT